GCTATGGCTGTAGAGCCAAGCAGTATATTAGGGAAGGGAAGTGAGGGTTAGTTATAGCTCTGTTGCCAGGCTCTCCCAGTTCTCTATCTACCTCTCAACCTTCTATCTGATGACTTAGACATATCAGTAAGATTTGGGGCAGGGAAGGTAGACTAGTATCTTGAAGGCCTTCCCTATATCCTCTAACAGTACCTTCCTCCTTTTTAGTTACAGGCCCAGAAACTTCGATTAGCTCATACTCGGGGCCCCTATTATGGTGGCTCTCTGCCCAACGTTAACCAGATTGGCTGTAGCCTGGCAGAGTTCCAGGTGAGTGAGTGGATACTAGGGTGAAGAGAGGGGAGGGGAGGAGGTAGGAATTACTGGGGCAGAACAAGGAGAGGGAGCTGTGGTTTTCTTTTCCCACCCTTCCAGATCCCCTTTCCCTGACTACCATGTATGTGTTGGCAGAACCCCCTCCATTCATCCCTGGATTCACGAAATACACGGCACCATGGTCTGGTGGAGCGGGTACAGCGGGATCCCCGAAGGATGATGTCTCCCCTACGCCGTTATCCCCGCCACATATCCTTTGGAGAATGAGCAGGGGGTAGGGTGGCATGAGCTGGGCTTATGGAACTAGAAAAAAGCTTGGTGCCAACCTGCTGCTGTTCCCTCCTCCTCCTCCTCCTTAGCTCTTGGATAGTTCTTCCTCATGTCTAATCTGTCTTTGCTCCTGCCAGCAGTAGAGCATCTATGTTTGTTCTGCCTCATGCTGGAGGTCACTTAGTTCCTTCATTCATTCATCTAGATTCTCAGGCAGAAAAAACTTTGTGGAAGGAAATGATTCTCCCAGCCCTTAACTGTTGTCATGTTTTCTTTGAGTTCCCTTCTTCTGAAGGTCTGTCCCCTTTCTCTTCTGCTGCATTTTGATTCTGTTGTCTTTTGTAGAGGAGAGAGCAGCACGTACCCCTTATTTTTTCCTTAATGTGGTGTTGCTCACATTGACAGCTCTCCTTATAGTCCAGCCTACTTATCTCCCCCTCCTGAATCCAGCTGGAGAAGGTGAATGTCCAGAGTGGGCTGAGCATAGTACCCCCATAGACTCCAAGCACAGACCCTATATTTCCACCCCTGGGTCTGGAAGGGGCACAGGTTGGGGAGGAGGGGTCATTAGCATGTGCTGGATAAGAACTGGAACTGGAATTCTCCTGGTTTTAAAGAGGGGTTTGTCATAGAGGTGGGAGCTAGGTGGGGTGGGCGGGGTCAGAGTCCAGTCTCAACCTTGTTGACACAAGAGTAGCCA